GTGTGTGTGTGTGTGTGTGTGTGTGTGTGTGTGTGTGTGTGTGTGTGATGAAGAGAGAGAGAGAGAGAGAGAGAGATGGAGCCGATTTCGAGAGCCGGATATGATGACATATACGAACATCTAAACAAACGAAACAATTTAGTTGATGATGGTTTTGATTTTCCGGTTTTCACCTTTAACATCGAAACACAAACACACACACACACTCACAGCGAGGAAGAACGAGAGAGCGAGCGAGCAATGAGTTCGTTATATACGAAGTGTATACATCACACTGGGAGGATATCAACTCGTACGCACATAATAACAATAACTCAAATGGTGTAACGGAACATTACTATAATATGCGATAGCGATAGCTAATGGTTAACCCATAAGCTTGGTTGCTCTTTATTTTTATCTCAACGTTTTCGATGATATGCAAACACCCTCCCTCCCTTCAGCTCCCACAAAAGATGTGGATCCGTCGCAAACACATACAACGGTAAAACGCGCGCCACTCACAGGCACACATACTCATACACATTCGCATGGGAAATTCGATCCTTTACGCTTGCTACTTCCTTGCTCCGGTGTCTCATTCGCTCTCTAGCTCTCGCTCACTTATTCGTTTGGCGTACATAATTTATTCTGTCAGTGACGACAAGCACCATGCCATTGCTAGAGAGCCAAGTGGAGCAGCAACAGCACCGCAGCATTTCACACCTTTTATGTATTACATACACCAATTTACAGTGTGCACATACCGTTTTCCATTCATTTACGTTTCGATTTGTCTTTTGGCTTGGCTTGGCTTCGTTTGGTTTGGTTTGGTTTGATTTGGTTTGGCCCTGTGCTTTACTTTGCTCGGCATCAGCTTTGACTCTCTCTCTCTTTCTCTCGCCCAACTGTACCTCTGTCGCTGTGATTCTCGTTGGCTTTGGTACCGTGTGCGTGCGTATTTGTATTACACAGTTTTGTTTGTGTTTGAATTGATATAAATGGTCGCATTTGATGCGCAGTAGCAACTGGGAACCATTTTCCATTAGCATTTGGTGCCGTGTGTGTGTGTGTGTGTGGTGTATGTTTTTTCTGCTCTCTGTGCATTCCTTTCAATGGTGGTGATGATGTTGCTATATAGCCAAACACGCGTACATTTGCTCAAAAAGCAGCAAAAATAAGATAGCAAATGGTTACCAATTTTGGTATGATATAGTTACAACTATATCCATGGATCTCTTGATTCAAATTCCATTCCATACCACTCACACACAGATATACATGCTCGAACATACTCAGGCACACACATACATATAATCACCCGCTGCCACATTCATAGTCACTGCCACAGTCGAACACTTTTTTCCTATTCATGTGTACATTTATTAGATTGGATTATATTGTATAGCTTTGAAAAATGCCAAAGCGAGTATGAGTTGATTGTGTGTGCGTGTGCATGTGCTGTACTGTACTGTGCTTGTGTGTCGGTTTGTTCGTTGTTTTTCCTTTTTCTTGCCTACATTTGCTGATTTCCATTTTATTTTCCTGACACTCGCTCCCACCCTCCACGAACTTTACCATTTCGACGTGTAATAAAATATGCTCGGTAGTTTTTATTAGGTATTTGCTTCGTGTTGTCGGATGTTGCGGAGGCAAAATGTTTGCGCGTCTGTTCGTATGACGAAAAATAAATTAGTGGTTTGGAAGATGTTGTGTTTTAATGTAAATATATGCACTCACACAAGCATACACGAGTATACATGTGCAAACATTCCTGCACGATAACCGCACAGCTTTACTTGTACAATGACTGACGGCTAGCTCATACATTTGGCTCAGGCGAATGTATAATTTAATACGTTGGCGGATGACGCTTCCTTTTTACGGCTTTTTCTCGTTCATTCTTCTGCACACACACACACACACACACACACTTCCTCTCTCTCCCCTTTCGCCTCCATCCACGTTGGCCTCCCATATCGTCACACATCAGAATATGAAATCAGATCCGATTTTAATCCAGTTGTTGTAGACATTCCAAGTAATTATTTAAACGCTTCTCGATTAGGTGCCTATGCCCTTCGGCTGGCAAAATTGCCCATCACTAATTGAAGTAGATTTCGAAGTCGACAACATGGATGGCACATTCCTTGAGCTAACCGAATGAATACATATACACACAAACACACACACACACACACACACACACACACACACACTCAATAAATAAAGTATATTGTTCACACAAATCGACCAAAAATGAAATGCCACATGCTACAAACGGCCATAGTATATTCATTTCGGTTTACATATGCGATACAAATGTAATCAAATCGACTCCAACTACTGTATGAAATGAGAAGCAAGGGAAAAATTGAAATGCTCCATTCGATTGAGGCAGCAGCACAAAGCGACGCTTTTTGTGCGCGAGAAAGGCAAACGAACGGGGGTGACAGAGTTAAAGAGAGGAGAAAAAAATTACAAGTGGAAAGCACATAGCCACACACATAAGTGAAAGCAGCGAAAGCAGAAAAGAGTGAGAGGGACACACACACACACACAGAGAGAGAGAGAGAGAGAGAAAATGCGCGCGTGAGAGAAAAAGGAAGCGTAGAAGAGGGTGAAAGGAAGCACTTACAACTGGAAAAGTGCACAAAGGCCCGAGCAAATAGCAGTAAATATTTTAACGGAGTAGCAGAAGAGCGTAGGCTACATTGTAGCAGCAATGCGAATTAGAAGCAGCAAAATAAAATGGATAGAATATACAATTACATGAGCGACAATTATTCGCTCGCTTGTTGTTATTGTAACACGGTGTGCTGTGACTTACAAGTACAATAGACAGTTGTTTGTTGCAAGACGCTCTTCGTTTATTTCAATTTTCAAAGTAGAGAAAATAAAATAAAAAACTTTGTATGAAAAAGAGAAGCATAGCAGAACAGAACAACGAAAATCGTATACATATAAACTTCATACGGCACACCAACAATAACATGTAAAAAAAATGGCTAGGATACATGTTAGCCATGCAAGTATGCTGAAAATACTATCGCAATCAAAGTGACTACCTGAAAAGGCACGAAGAAAACAAACTTCAGCAAAACAAAACAAAATGAAACGGCAAAAAAAAATACAGCAAAGCACAAAAAGGAACGACAAAACAAAAGGAAAATAACAAAGAACAACACCAGAATCAGCTCAAAAATCATTTTATTCCTATTTATTACACACTTTCGGAATGTATGAAATAAAATAATTTTATACATATTCACGTGCACCACCATCACAATACGCGACAACGACAATCTATCGGTTTCGTGTTGTTTTCCTTTTGTCGCCACTTTCTTTCACTCACTCGCTACTTTGCTTTTCGAATTTTCCATTCTTTTCGATTCGATGTTTTTGGGTGTATTATTTTTGCTACTTCTCGTTTGGCTGAATTCAAAATTGAAATGGAGATAAAATGGTTGTTCAATGCGAAAACTCAAAGATGCACCCACACACATACACACACACACACACACACACACACACACACGTTGACTGTCGTCTATTTGCGTCGCATTTAAAAGAAAAAAACTGTGAACTTGTGTATGGAGAGAGACAGAAGTGGAAAATATTTTATTCATGTGAAATGATGAAGAGATATTTTGTGAAGAATTTCAATATTTCTCTTTTATGTTCATGTTTCAACTTTTCCACAACGAATATTCATCATTTGAAACAATTTGCACTCATTTCCGTTCCTTTTCGACCAATTTATATCGATATGGATTATTTTAATGTGTATTGAAGTGTGCCTGTGTGTTTGGTGCCCACTTTTCGAATAAAAAAAAAGGTTCAAGAGATTCCAGTGGGATTTCAACAATGCATATTTATTTGCCGTAATAAATCATTTGTCGAAAATGTTCGGTCGTTTGTGGTCAAAAATGGATATTATTCAAACGATTGTTTGGTTTGGTTTTGTCACCGCACTAAGCGAATGAAATGAAGACGAAATCAATATTCAATTCATGAAATTTATTCCAAAAGCCATTGCTTTGACTGGCTTAACATTTGGGATGGGGGCAAGAATAAGACCAATTGCAAAAATAAATTCAGCATTTAATTCTCAATAATAATAGTTCACATTGCATTTTATCGCTATCGATCATCAACTAATTCGATTTTTTTTTCTTTTATTCTAGGTAAGTTCCATCATTCAATACTGGTGCATCCAAGAAATACACAAGCGAATATCGTTAAGTGATTTGAAGGTAAATGCATTCATTCAGATAGCAAAGAACGAATAAAAAAAATCACCACGTCAACAACAACACATACAGATAAAGTCAAAAGATACGACAGGAATTGAATCAATCTAGGCCAGGCAACGGGGCTAAAAATCGTTCATTCAATTTAGCACAATCAAATACCCAAGTTCATTTTGTGTTTGCCTAATGTGAAATATGCTGTGGCACCACCGGTGTGTGATGGTGCTAACAAAAGAGATATGGAGTCGAGTGAGAAGAGAATGTTTAAGAGAGCGAGAGAGAGAGAGAGAGAGAGAGAGAGAGAGCGATTGGAAATTAGAGATGAAGAGCGAAATTGGCAAATGCCTGTCGTTTTACGGCTTCAAGACATTGTCTATGGATTGGCTCGGTTTCTTTTCATTTCATTTCATGTTGGTGTTTTTAACGGCATACAGCCAGTATTGGGCCATGGTGCGATTGCACGTACCCATTTTATGTGTGCTGTGAATACGATTAAATGGAATGAAAGGCTCCAATTAAATTAAGTTCTTGGCAGATATAATTTAATTTTTTTTCCGTTCGTCTTTTAATGGCTATATGCAACGCTATGGTTCATGCATTTTGCTTCGATTTGCCCGTTCATATTTGTAGTGTCTTAGCTTACAGAGAGAGATTTACAACAATTCAATTGGGCTTGGCGGTCCAAACCACGAACCTATTGAACAATCAATTTAGCTTTGTGTGTGTGTGTGTGCTTGTGTGTGACTTGACCTCATCAGTTAACCTCATAAGAGTTGAAATTGCGCGCACACTAACTTTCTATGTATAATATTTTTCCACACTGCATTCACTCAATGAATTTCCTAATCATTTGTGTATCGGTGTTGCGCCCCGGCACTAAATCCGCGTCGCGAATCCACACAATGGTGACAAACCATTCATTTTTCGTTGTCGACGGCTTGTATTGTAAATACCTAATAAATATTTTGATGAAATGCCAATATAAATAAAATGGCAATGAAATGCGACATGATAAATGGAAAATTGAATGAGTGCTTTTAATGAAGATTTGGTTGTTGTTGTTATTTTTTTTGTCTGCTGTACAATTAATTTGATGGCTTAATACGAAAAGCAGTTGGCCTGTAGAGCGATGAAACAAACATTCATCCACTTGAGCTCACAGGGTGAAAGAGAAAGGCAAGAGAGCGAAACAGAGAGAAATTGAAAGAGAATCAACGTAAAGAGAAGTGTAGCAACAGTGAAGAGGCTCTTGACAAATCTTCAGACATTTTCATCTGTTCGTCGAGCAAACGTGACATTTATCTAAAAAATTCATTCTCCAATTGTATTTGAACATGTTACCATCATCATACGAATAGCATCTATTTCCATCGCAATATGGAACGCGAAATATCACGAAAATTTCCAGAGTCGCACAGAATGTGAACAATTTTCAACAACACACAACATTTTCTCTCGAGTGTGTATTAATCAAATAATGTGCAAACTGCAAGCACACTTAAACCCGTTAACATATACAATGATTGTGACATCAAAATTTGTCGACGAAAAACAAAAAAACAATCACAAGTAACACAAACTAATGATAACTCATTCAGAATCATGAACAAACGAACGAATGAATGAACGAACAATTGACAACAAAATGAAACAGAGACCCAAAGTGTGTTCTTAATAAAAGTCAAGCAAGTGACAGTCGTCATAAAAAATTCGTGTTTATTACGTTTAAACGATATTTCTTGTTTTATCAATTTTATGGTCGAACAGACTTGACGCGCGCACTTGGGAAAAGATGAAATCTGTCGAGAGAGAGAGAGAGAGAAAAAAAACAAGCGTACAATGGTTGATACTTTAATTAAATTTCACGTGATGCAATCGATGTGACATCAATAATGGGCTAATTACTGTGGCCAAGGAAAGAAAGAGAGAGGTCATCAAAGTAACAAAAAAAACAACACACGAAATAACTTATTGAATCAATTAGAACAATATTCATGTTGCGGTTTTGGGGCGTCCGTATGACACATGACAATTTTGAGCCGCACACTCAACACCACATTCCACATTGATTGCAATGTACAGTGTTATCGGGTGGTATAGCGTTGCAAATACACAGCTGGTGCATTAATATTTCGCTCTTTTGAAATTTTAATAAATTGTACTTAAATTTCATTGCAAACAATTTTATTTAAGAGCGATTTGGTACACTGTGACTATAAAGTCAGTGATAACGATTCACTCTGCATCGGATGAATTGTATGATGTGCCATGGCTGTATTGTCGCACGTTTTTCTCTTCTTGTGTGTGTGTGTCTGCACAATACTCTCTTTCCTTCAACGTCAATGTGCACTTGGTTTGAGCGCGTTCGCACATTGGCACATTGGCTTCCACCATGCACGAAAATTGGAAAACGACGGCAACGAAACTAAAAAGAAGAAAAGAAATATACACACGATAAGTTCACTATACTTTGTTGGTGCCAGAGCAACATTGTTCAATTTTATAGCGTAGCCTTAAAAACATTTACATTCCTTTTTTGTGTCGTTACTTAATGACTTCGTGTAGTTGATTATTATGATTGTGTTGCCTGTGTACGCTGTGCTCATTTCGTATCTTTTTTTTCCACTTGAGAAACTTATTCATAATTTAGCAAGCACATAAACTGAATGGAGCACGAATGAAAAGGCGAGAGAGAGAGAGAGATAGAGAGAGAAAATAACACACACAACAGCAGCATCGGCAGCGGTGGCAGCAGTGGAATACACACTGTGCACCGCTGAACACTGAAATTATAAACGTATGACCAGCAACTGAAATCAATTGTGTGCATGTGAGATTGCTTGGTGTTCTGCGTGCGTGTGCGGAGGGTCCGTACATAATTTCTCATGCACAATTCTAACCAAAAGAGCGCGTGCAAAAAATTCGCTACTATACTGTATGTTCAGCTGCACTGCACTCACACAAACATTATTTTTCGGGTGGAAAAAAAAGAAGATGCAGCAATAACCAAGCATAACGACCCACTCAAATTGACATAGACTGCACTGAATTATAAGCATCGCCCAAAATGAAGACATTGACGCCACTCACACACATCAACACCAAACTGAGCCGAACACAATTTGCTATTCGTCGAGGATAATATACTTTAAGCGAAACATTTCTATCTGTTTCTCATCTTGATCATCAGCAAATCGATTTAGTTGCTTGGCATTCATTGTTTGGCCAAGCAAAAATTCTTATAATGCAAATCTTTTGATTATTTTGTTTTTTGTGTGCAAATGGCCAAACATGGAACTTGTTGTCGAATGTTTCGGTAGATTAGACCGATAATGATAACGATAATTAATGTATGCATTAATGCGTGATTATCATAAAATTTGACGGGAAAAGCGTTTTGTTCACTTAATTTTCATTCCATCTCGTTCCCCTGTGCATGCAGTTGCGGGTTGCACCATGTCGCTCTCTCTCTCTCTCTCTCTCTCTCTCTCTCTCTCTCTCGCTCAATTTAAAAATAATAGAATGTTGAATTGGCACATCGGCCGCGAATGTCTTGCGAATGAAAAAAAAAAACAGTTCCCCGTCGAACAAGTGAATTGTGAATATATATGAAATGACAGCAACAGCGGAATAACAAAAAACGGTACAAAAATAATTTATTAATAATGCCACAAAAATGTTTGAATGTTCCATTTCTCTGTTTTTTTTGGTATTTCTCGTCTGTGTGTTTGTTTATTGCTCTCCCTCAAATGATTCTCACACCCAGAAAGGTGCAAAAATGGCGATGAAATAAAAAAAAACCTCCACATTTTGAGAATGTGTGTGTGAAAGACAAACATAATAAAAACGAAAGAAAAATATTGCCAAAAGTGGGATAGAGAGAGAGAGAATTTATTTGTCGGAATAATAGAATGAAATTTGTGTTTAGTGCAACCACAAACATTGGCCACCGCCACCGCTGCTGTCACCATGCACATTGCACACCAAATCGACATGGTAAAGGAAACGAAATGAAACAAAAAAAAACGGCGCAAAAGAAACTGTTTGGCATAAAACGGCAGACGGTAAGCATGCAACGCGCGTTCCACAAAGTAGTATCTCTTTAACTCTCTCGGAATAAAAATCAAAGACAAGAAAAAAAAACAAAATGAAAATGTGCTGAAAAGCGATTTTCACATGCATAGTTATTATTTATTTTGGAATTTTACTATTTGCCAATGCAGTCAATAAAATGGAGTTTTTTTTTCTTCTCCTAGTCTACATTGTGTTGCGAATAGGCACACATACAAACTAATCTTTGACAAACACTTTGAATGAAATGAAAGCGTTTTCTCTTTATCTCTTTCCTTCTCTTCGTCATTTGTATGCTCGTGCACACTAACGGCTTCGCTTTATTTCATGTCATGCTGAACAAATGCACATATTATGAGGTGAACCAATCCAAAAGAAATACTCGAGAAACGGAAAATGAACCAATTGAATTGAATTTGATACATTTTGTGTTTATTATTCTCAAATATTTTTATAAATGACAAAAAGTAATCTCATCAATTTCAAAGTTGTGGGCAAATGGCTGGTGCTGCTGAAGAGCTCGACGGAATCGGTGTAGTTGCCGATGGAATTGGTGTGATTATTGATGGTTCCATTGATTCTATAAGAGAAAAAAAAATCAACATTTCTTTGGATTAGTTCTCTGAATAGTTGATCTGAATTGAAAAAAAGAAAGAGCAATTAAATTTACCTTTGATTATATCGAGGTTGCCACATGCTGTTTGTACGAGATTTTCGATCACTTTCAGAGTGGTGAGTGTATTCTCGACTATTTTTTTGTTCTGTCCGATTTGGTCAAACTTCGCTATAGTATCTGATGAAAAAAACACAAATCACAAAACGGAATTTAGTTTCAATACACGCGATAAAATTCACAATAGAATTTCAAAAGCAGAAATAATGAACATAATGAAGTGACTTAAAAACAATAAATGTTGTCAGTAAAACAAATTATATTTACGTTCGTAAAAGGTCTTGTAGAATGCACAGCCGGTGTTGGTTGCAAAATAGAGCACTTTATTGATGCGTTGAGCCAATTCTTCGGGTGTTGCAAATTTTTCAGTTGTGTTGATTTTCAGAGTTTGACTCAGGCGACAGATATATGCTTTAGCATAGAAAAAATATCCGCATATTTTTTGGTCACTCTCAGTATATAACGGCACCCAGCTTCTTTGTAAACAAACCGTTTTATAATCTATATTACTACGTTCAGTGTGCGTGCTGATACTCGATGAAGCTGGGTGCCGTTATATACTGAGAGTGGACAAACCAAAAAATATGCGGATATTTTTTCTATGCTAAAGCATATATCTGTCGCCTGAGTCAAACTCTGTTGATTTTTTCCAATTTCTTCATCACTTCATCATTGCATTTCGCT